GGAATAATTTTAAGGTGCTGTTTAGTGCTACTTACAGATGACAATTATTACTGTACTAGGTTCACAGTTAGCAGTAGCTGACAGTGATTTACCCCACATACAGTAGCCAATTTCATAATAATTTTCACCAAAGTTACATGTGCAACAAAATTAAACATTAACAGATGCAGGTTAAAATCCATATTTAACAAGCAGATTGTAAACAGTAATCATAGTCTCTGATATTCTTCCTGTCTCCCTCCTCTTGTACAGAGACCGGATTGGGGAATAAAAAAATAACCTGGAACAATAAAGAAAACAGAGCTATATCTTGGGCACTGTGACTTCTAAGTATAGTTTATGGACCCAAATAGAAAACATCCTTAATTTCTCCAAAAGGGCTTTTAAAAGAAGTAACAGTTCTATTTAGCATACCCCATCTTTTCTACAAACCCGTGAACACATCTAGAAAGAGCAACATATCAGCTCACTGGATGAGCTAATCTCTCACAAGCAAGTAAGCTGGCCTCTGAAACTTATGGGGCAGTTACAAAGGATTTCAAGCAATGATTCTTCGAATATGGAAAATAAAACGCAGCAGCTGATACGAAGCATCAGCAGCAGCACTTCAGGCAGCTTTCCAGAAGACCAAACAAAAAACTCAAAGTTTTAAGTTATCAGAAGCTCTCTCTCTCTCCAGTGCTCTGCCAGTTCTCACTGGTGCCAGTAAGGTGTACCCGATTATCACCAGATTAAAAAAAACACAGAAAACCAAAAAAAAACCTCAAAAGGCTAGTCTTCACCTATTAAATGGAACCGATCCCCTGCTCCCCCACCCCCAACTGAAGTTTTAGTAGCATTTCTCAGATTTAAACAGTGTCTACCTGAATAATACTCACCTGTCACTGCTTTCCCTGCTGTTTGAAGGCCCAGTGCAAACCCAAACCATAACATCTATGGGCACACCCTGTGCTGGGTTTCCAACTGAGTGTAGCTGCAAGCCCCCTGAGAGGACTTAAAATACTACAGGCAGAGAAATAAACATACAAGTTGGTGGTGGGAAACTCCACTTTAGCGAACCCTTAAAGTACTTAGCTCTCCTTACAATACCTACCACAGCAGCTCATGCAGGAGGCGGCCAGATCCCCTTCCACGATTTTTGTCAAATGCGTAAGCAAATATTTTAGCACCATTTCCATCAGCATCTACCTCCATCCGAGCCTAGAGAAAAGGGAAAGGCTGTGAGAACATCCAGCATCGAGTAGCAGAGCACAAGCTCCACTGGGATACAGGAAGGACCCAACATTTAACACTTGTCTCCTAGAGGTCACTTGACCTTAATGGAATTTGAGTTGTTTCAAACCTCCAAAGGGAACCAACCAGCTCTGCTGTTGTACTTTATGAAGATGGGAGAGGGAAGAAAGGAGGCTGTGCACAGCAGGAGTCCCGCTTGGACAAAGAACAGCAAGAATCCAGTTGTGAGCCTGTAAGGCCCGGATCCATGCTCCGCTCTGGTGCAGATTTTCCGTACAGCCACCAGCAAGCCACCAAGGCTTTGTTTTCAGCATTGCTTTACACCAATGTAATTAGGGGTTGCTAGTGAAAGGAGTGGTCCTGCCCTTTTAGCTCTACTCCATAACTTTGTGTTGGCTCTAATGCTCACAAGCTGCACTAAGGACCAGACAAATTTAGGATACTCGCAGTGTATCACCACTCTCAGCAATAGTAGATGCTTACCGTGAGCTACCACAGAGGGAGAAGAGGCAAATACGGTGTTTTCTGGTAGCAGCATTGCCAGAGCACTTAAAACTCCTAAGGGCAGCTCTGAAGTACCCGCTGCGCTCCAGGCACTAAGCAAAAGGTGGTCCCTCCTCCAAAAAAGCCTTAGTTTTAGAAGATTCTGTAACCAAGAATTCTTTCCCTTTCAAAGCCCTGGTAGAATCCACTTATCCTTTTTCAGTGGACATTAAAAAAAAATTTTTTCTGGTCTCGTAGTAAGTTACAATAAAAGAACTTTTTCTCACCCAAGACCATGTGCAGAGTAAAAATTTTTTAAGTTCACCAAACCAAATAAGGGAAAACAAATTATCAGTTCTTAAAAAGTATACAAATAGAAAGCTGAAACAAAAAAAAAAAACTATATAATAAATTGATTTAAACTAATGCTCACTTAAAATGAAAAAAATCAGAACTTTTCCTGCTTGAAAGCATTCACACTGCTATTTTAATAAACTTTTTTTCCCCAAAGCAGGAAAGTTGCAGGGCAGAGCACTTCCATAAGCAGTTTTATTTAAGCAAGTCACACAGAAAAAAAAAAATAAATAAAATTAACAACCTTCAGCAACAGATTGCAATTCCCTCCACCCCCGGGAACACTGCAAACCGGTCCCACAGCAAAGCCCTCACAGGCACCGCTGGCCCAAGGGACGGCAAAGGGGCCCCGGCACCCCCAGAAGGCGGCGGGAGGAAGCGGGGGGCTGGCGGCCGGTTCGTGGGGTACACCCACAGGGGATTTGGTATCCCCGGTAAAACAAAATAGGCAACA